TTGGGGCAGTAAGAACCCCCAATTAAACAACTCTACAAATCGGCAGATTCTCATAGGCGTTGAAAAAAAAAATTCACATAATCATTTCTCGGCTGACAAAATGTCAACAACAACAACAACAACAACACCACCAGGCCTGTCACCAGCCTCCCAGTCGCAAGTGGAGTGAAGCCTACTCCTGGCGATAAGACGACAATCGCGCAGTTCCAAGTGCGCGTTGCTAAGCAGCGGCCGGGAATGCTGCGCCTTGCCGTAAGGATTTATGACGTACAGCTTTGTCCCAAACAGGAGAAATTATTTCTTAGTAATGCGTGAAATGTGGAATCGATGTTTTGGTTTCGACATTTGCCTTTCATGAGAAACTGATAACAAGTCTTTCACTACTCCTGATGTATCATTTTCTCGCTTTAGCATGCACCTCAAAACACCTGCAATATTATATTTCAGCATCCTGTTACACTCACACAATATATATGGACAAATACCGTCTTAAGTGCAACAATTTTATTGTAGTTTTTACTTCTTTTTCCTCCTCCACACTACATGTTTCGGCCCTAAATGGCCATCATCAGGTGTGTATCACTCACGTAACTGTTACACTGCTTGTTAAAAATGTAAAAATCACAGTCTTTCTAATTGTATAAAATCTTTGTTAATCTACACGCGTCGATTTGATTTTTAAATTAGCACTTTTTAAACCTTAATTCAAGTTCAAATGTCTATAAGATCTTTGTTCTCTTTCTTTTCCAAATTAAAAATTTTCAGGGTACATGCCCTATATCTACGGTGCTGCAGCGGCCACTTCTTGTTTTTATCGCTGTTCATGTGTTGTCTGTAATATACAAATATTTGTGTTACTATCTTATGTTATGTTATGAATAACATAACAAGACATTTGAACTTGAATTAAGGTTTAAAAAGTGCTAATTTAAAAATCAAATCGACGCGTGTAGATTAACAAAGATTTTATACAATTAGAAAGACTGTGATTTTTACATTTTTAACAAGCAGTGTAACAGTTACGTGAGTGATACACACCTGATGATGGCCATTTAGGGCCGAAACATGTAGTGTGGAGGAGGAAAAAGAAGTAAAAACTACAATAAAATTGTTGCACTTAAGACGGTATTTGTCCATATATACCTGCAATATCTTTAATGTTTTGCACTCTCTTTTGTAGTATTGTTAATGTCGACTGAAATACCCACAAACACAACTTGCCTAAACACAATAACACATAGAACACTTGTTAAAAACACATGTTTCGCCCACTTTTTGGTCACCCTCAGGAGGTACATACTTAAATATAACTATTTTACTGAATTGCCTTATTTTTCTTATGTTATCTTTCAGACGGGCCGTTTTCATTTTGGTTTGCGGAATTTGCTAAGCGTAATTTAATTCCAAACAGCCAAATTAAGGTACCTTCGGAGAATCGAGGTTACGAATAGTCATTTTTTTAATTTATTTATTTATGAAACAATCAGAATGTACAATTCTATAAGCTAGTTTGCTGGCGGAAGAGCTGTGATGCTGTTTAATGACGTGATGAGTCCCTTTCCCAGTGGGAGGTTCCTCTTAGTTCTCTTTTAGGTCAGCTGGCCAGTGTCTTCGGAGTCTTCGATTGTGCTGCGGTTCAACGAGTGGCTGTAGTATGTCGTTTGGGTGACTTGCTAGTTTGTTGTGGTGTGAGGTACTTTTTTCTCTGATGACGTCCTTGATGTATGGTATATTTAGATCTGTATGTAACGTTTGGTTGTTTACATACCGGGGTGAATTTGTTATAATTCGAAGTATTTTTATATTTGATTCGCTAGCGCAACCCCAGAGCTCGACTCCGTAAGCCCAGATTGGTAACCAGAATTAAAGTATATAATATGCTCGGTATTTTCAAGAGTAAATAAAATATTCAACATTTGCGTACAGAAAGCAACCACAGGATTTGCAGAGGCTGTCTCCAAATACGTACAAGGAATCCCGTTAAATTTTGTACCCTTACATCGAACAGTTTCACGAGCTGACACCAAGGCACAGAAATTTCCGCCTCATTTCTCAAACATGCTATGAAAGTCTTGGTATAAGTTTTCATGAAAAACTGACAGGCATGGATGATTCAGTCATAAGGCAACCCAGGAGCCCTGACTTGACTCAGCTTGGCCTGTGTAAAGAATTTCGTTAATATGGACAAAACTGGAAACCTGATCACATGAGAGCAAGAGAAGCCGCTGGGCAGGTAAAGAGAGATATGCTACAGAGTGTTTCGCAAAAAGTGGGATACCGATTGGACATATGCAGGGTCACGAAGGGTGCACGTATGGAAACTTGATAATTATGGTCACAAACTTTTTAGGTATGTTTTAAAATATAATATTCATTTCTGGAGTATGTATACTGTTTCTCGAAACCCACGTCATTAATTTTCGAACAACCTCTATATAAGAAGTTTTGTAAGCATGAGATTTAACATTGTCATTAAGCAATTTCTGGTTACAGAATCAAGGAATTATCTTGGATTAACTCGTTGCACGAACGTAACATGCCGTAGGTCACAAAGGGGTAGCAGTCTCTTGTTCTGTAAGCACTGGCAATGTCTCGAAATCGGTATTTATTTTTTGTATTGCTAGTGGGGCGGGACTAAGTCCCCTGTACTGCGGCCACTTCTGGCATATTGTACCAGCCCCAGATGATAGGTGAGGGTGATTGTGGAGCAATTGATGGAATGAAGATTGACAGGGGAAACCGCAGTACTCGGAGAAAACCTGCCCTAGCGCCACTTTGTCCACCACAAATCCCACTTGACCAGACCCGGGATCGAACCCGGGCCGCCGCGGTGGGAAGCCAGCGACTAACCGCTTGAGCTATGGCGCGGCCTAGCATAGAATCCAGTTAGTGAGTGCTGTGTGCAGTCGAGCTCTGCAAGGGAGACAGAACAGACGGCGAAACAGTTCAACTGAGGGAAGAGCTGGCAGAAAGAAATGAATGAGAGTCCGTGAAGGAATGATATGAGCGCGGGAAGATAAAAATATCCAGTGTTAGAAGCTCTTGCCAGGGAACGGTTTGTTAAGACATAGCAGACTGAAAGATATTTAGCGGGTGCTGTGGTGATTTGTAAATAGTGAAGATCACCAATCTCTGTAATTACTTGTAGTTCCGAGTTGTGTCAATAAATCCAATATCCAATCCTTACCCCTTCTACAGTCACACACCACTAACACGTGAGAGTATGAAGGTAATGCTGTCTCTGTAACAGACGATGGAGGGCCATAGGGTTGTGAGACGTCGAGGCTCCCACGTTTTCTAGATAACAGACTCACAGATGGCGGTGAGGTCAGCCATACGCGCCGGCCGACGTTTATCCCCAGTAACATCCCTGGTACTTGTTTATATTAGAGGCTAAATCGACTCCAGGCCCATAGTGCGGCTGGGAACATTGGNCCATAGTGCGGCTGGAAGGATTAGGTCAATAGCAGAGCTACTAATATGAGAACGTAAAAGTCCTCCAACGATTCTAAAGCACTTACTTCTACATATCACGGGCTGCTTCGTGATATTACTTTACAATTTAAACACGCACTGTGATTACATGCTCCTTCAGTTCACTTCGTGAAAAATTGTGTAAACTTTTATGTCAACACTGGATACCCCAGAAGATTGTCGTTTGCGGCTGAAATATGTTCCAGTTCATAATTATTCTTATTTAAAAACTGGGTACACTTGATGGTATTATCAAATTTGTTCTAACTTAAATTGTGCAACGAAAATAATGACTCCTAGTAAGCAGGTCAGCCTTACAGAAGTAATTATATATGAGATAATGTGACCATGAATTTTGTATTTTTAGCTCCAGTTATCAAAAAATTTATGTAACCATGGAAATAAACAGCGTAGGCCATAGAGTCTAGTAGGAAGACGGATTATCATGCGCTTAATTGCCCTTAACCATGTACAGTATAAATACCCGCTCGAAGCAACGTCCAGTACCATTCAGCGCCATCACCTGACCAGAAGATGAAGACTTTCTGGTTCCTGGTACAAGCGGCCGCAGTTGGACTGCTACTCCTTGTTGGTAAGTCGCCCTGTTTAACAGGACAAGTCTGAGGACTGACAAACTTAGCAACTTCTTGACACTTTCACGGTTAACTCCGAATATACTTGTGTCTGTATTGGGCAAAGAGGGACAGAGTCTTTCCCAGTTTCTTCTTTCCTTCCTCGTACCAACCCTGGAAACACTGATGTTATGATTCCTTTGAACGTTCCTGTATTACAGCAAATGGTAAACTGCTTCGTCAGGAAAAGTCCAGAGAACAAGCAAAATAACGTAAACCGAAAATACATACTTATATTCAGCAATTAAGCAGAAAAGCCTTTTACAAATTTCGGGTCCATCTGTTCCTATGTCTGTCAACACCTCTCTTTCCTCTCGATCGGTGAATAATCTTTTGGTCTATTGAAAGATGGTATGGACTGGATTGATCTGGCTCAGGATAGGGACCTGTGGAAATTCTTGTGAACACGGTAATAAATCTTCGGTTTCCATAAAATGTTCGGAAGTTTGCTTCTCAAGTAGAGCTCAGCTCCATGAAGTTAGTTGGAAGTTACTTATTTCACGACGATGTTTTAATAAGGAGTCCGTCTAGAGTCCAGTATGGGCTGGAAGTCATTGGGAAGGAAGCGACTGTGGTCTAATGGAGCTGCTTTCCCGCCCTTTCCCTGCAGGGAATGAGGAAAACCTCGCAAATCCTCATACAGTAGAGCCGGGGTCCTAGCCGGTCACTTCCCGCATACAAGACTACATAGTTAACGTTACACCAAGCTCTTCGGTGTTCGGGATATCAGAATTTGCTCCGAAAGTCTGCTACACATTCTTTTCAGTTTTCTTTGAATATTTATGTTGAGACTGAAATCAGTCGCTGTGTTCATGCCACTACAGAACTACAATATATGCCATCACGGAGACTATGAAATGCAACAAAACTGAGATACACGCGTCTACAAGACCCATGGCAGTGGCGCGTGCGCAGGATGAACTTGGCCATGCTGTACATACCTGCCATTCTATCGGACATAAATTTGTCTTTTAAAATAAAATATAAAAAAAAGGTCTGCGTGTTTAGCCTTTAAAATGAGCATCAACTGGTCTGTTATTGTACACTGATCTCCCGAGAATTCGATCATTGATATCACTGTGTTGAAATTGAAACTAATTTGGCAAATATGTTTACAATGAAATAGATGAATACGTAAATAAAACCGCGTGGAAATATGTCACCCAAATTTACTGTAAAAGCGCGTGTTACACCGGGTACAGTAAATTGATAATATTTCACTACAGAGTAAAGGGTAACGGAGAGTTTGAAGAAAGGGCAATAAAATTTACTGATAGCATGTCCTCCTGGGCTATGACTACGGGTAGTTTGGATAGAGCCCGAAGGTTCGGAGAAATGTTTTGCTTCCATCTTCACGGTTTACCAGGAAACAAATTAATACACCAGTAGAAGGAGGTACCAAGTTTACCTGCGAAACACACGGCACTACAAACCACAAGGTCGTAATCTTCACTGTCACGCGCCTTATAAACCTGAAATTCAGGAAAGACAAATTCACAAGTTTTGTCTGTTCGGACAGTACTAAATAGAAGTTAGTAAAATCGACATAAGTTTTAATTATATCGTACGGAGTGAGAGAACAACACTACATATGAACATTCTGTTGTTTCAGATACAGGGAACAGCCGAGAGATCCCCCAGGGACGGATAAGCCAATCAGAAGAATCAGACCAGTCACAACAACATGAGTCGGATAAAAATCATCATCGAGAACACCAAAAAATTTCCTTGCCAATAGGAGAAAGTGAAAAACATCACCATCAACATGACAAAATTCATTTACCAATTGGAGAAGCGGGTATACTTCAGCGTATACTTGGCGGATCCATTCCTCTTCCAATTGGTGGACCTGGCGCACATCAGCATCCACATGGACGACCCTACCCACTGACAATAGGCGTACCTATCATACCATTCCCACTGCTGTCAAACATACCTCACGCACAAGGAGGGTCTTCTGGATCACAAGGCTCTAGCGGGTCAGGACCTTCAGGGGAGTCTGGAGGATCTAGCAGTTCAGGAAAGCCATCAGGACCAGGGTCTCCTGGATCACAAGGCTCTAGCGGATCAGGAAATTCAGGCGAGTCCGGAGGATCTAGCAGTTCGGGACAGCCATCAGGACCAGGGTCTCCTGGCTCACAAGGCTCTAGCGGGTCAGGAACTTCAGGCGAGTCTGGAGGGTCTAGCAGTTCGGGACAGCCATCAGGACCAGGGTCTCCTGGATCGCAAGGCTCTAGCGGGTCAGGAAATTCAGGCGAGTCTGGAGGATCTAGCAGTTCAGGACAGCCATCAGGCCAAGGAGGGTCAGGAAACTCAGGCCAATCTGGAAGTTCAGGACAATCTTCAGGACAAGAAGGGTCCTCTGGATCAACAGAACCTAGTGCGTCAGGAAGTTCAGGTCAATCTGGAGGATCTGGCAGTTCAGGACAGTCATCAGGACAAGGAGGGTCTTCTGGACCACAAGGATCTAGCGGCTCAGGAAATTCAGGCCAATCTGGAAGTTCAGGACAATCATCAGGACAAGAAGGGTCTTCTGGATCAACAGAACCTAGTGGGTCAGGAAGTTCAGGCCAATCTGGAGGATCTGGCAGTTCAGGACAGCCATCAGGACAAGGAGGGCCTTCTGGATCACAAGGATCTAGCGGGTCGGGCAATTCAGGGGGACCTGGAGGATCTGGCGGTTCCGGGGGATCTGGTGGATCCGGAGGATCCGGCGGCTCCGGTGGATCTGGCGGTTCAGGAGGATCTGGTGGCTCCGGTGGATCCGGAGGATCTGGAAGTTCTGGACAGTCATCAGGACAAGAAGGGTCTCCTGGATCAACAGAACCTAGTGGGTCAGGAAGTTCAGGACAGTCATCAGGACAAGGAGGGTCTTCTGGATCACAAGGATCTAGCGGGTCAGGAAATTCAGGCCAATCTGGAAATTCAGGCCAATCTGGAAATTCAGGTCAATCTGGAAATTCAGGCCAATCTGGAAGTTCAGGGCAGTCTTCAGGACAAGAAGGGTCTTCTGCATCAACAGAACCTAGTGGGTCAGGAAGTTCAGGACAGTCATCAGGACAAGGAGGGTCTTCTGGATCACAAGGATCTAGCGGGTCAGGAAATTCAGGCCAATCTGGAAATTCAGGCCAATCTGGAAATTCAGGTCAATCTGGAAATTCAGGTCAATCTGGAAATTCAGGCCAATCTGGAAGTTCAGGGCAGTCTTCAGGACAAGGAGAGTCTTCTGGATCACAAGGATCTAGCGGGTCAGGAAATTCAGGCCAATCTGGAGGATCTGGCAGTTCAGGACAGTCATCAGGACAAGGAGGGTCTTCTGGACCACAAGGATCTAGCGGGTCAGGAAATTCAGGCCAATCTGGAGGATCTGGCAGTTCAGGACAGTCATCAGGACAAGGAGGGTCTTCTGGACCACAAGGATCTAGCGGGTCAGGAAATTCAGGCCAATCTGGAGGATCTGGCAGTTCAGGACAGTCATCAGGACAAGGAGGGTCTTCTGGACCACAAGGATCTAGCGGGTCAGGAAATTCAGGCCAATCTGGAGGATCTGGCAGTTCAGGACAGTCATCAGGACAAGGAGGGTCTTCTGGACCACAAGGATCTAGCGGGTCAGGAAATTCAGGCCAATCTGGAGGATCTGGCAGTTCAGGACAGTCATCAGGACAAGGAGGGTCTTCTGGACCACAAGGATCTAGCGGGTCAGGAAATTCAGGCCAATCTGGAGGATCTGGCAGTTCAGGACAGTCATCAGGACAAGGAGGGTCTTCTGGACCACAAGGATCTAGCGGGTCAGGAAATTCAGGCCAATCTGGAGGATCTGGCAGTTCAGGACAGTCATCAGGACAAGGAGGGTCTTCTGGACCACAAGGATCTAGCGGGTCAGGAAATTCAGGCCAATCTGGAGGATCTGGCAGTTCAGGACAGTCATCAGGACAAGGAGGGTCTTCTGGACCACAAGGATCTAGCGGGTCAGGAAATTCAGGCCAATCTGGAGGATCTGGCAGTTCAGGACAGTCATCAGGACAAGGAGGGTCTTCTGGACCACAAGGATCTAGCGGGTCAGGAAATTCAGGCCAATCTGGAGGATCTGGCAGTTCAGGACAGTCATCAGGACAAGGAGGGTCTTCTGGACCACAAGGATCTAGCGGGTCAGGAAATTCAGGCCAATCTGGAGGATCTGGCAGTTCAGGACAGTCATCAGGACAAGGAGGGTCTTCTGGACCACAAGGATCTAGCGGGTCAGGAAATTCAGGCCAATCTGGAGGATCTGGCAGTTCAGGACAGTCATCAGGACAAGGAGGGTCTTCTGGACCACAAGGATCTAGCGGGTCAGGAAATTCAGGCCAATCTGGAGGATCTGGCAGTTCAGGACAGTCATCAGGACAAGGAGGGTCTTCTGGACCACAAGGATCTAGCGGGTCAGGAAATTCAGGCCAATCTGGAGGATCTGGCAGTTCAGGACAGTCATCAGGACAAGGAGGGTCTTCTGGACCACAAGGATCTAGCGGGTCAGGAAATTCAGGCCAATCTGGAGGATCTGGCAGTTCAGGACAGTCATCAGGACAAGGAGGGTCTTCTGGACCACAAGGATCTAGCGGGTCAGGAAATTCAGGCCAATCTGGAGGATCTGGCAGTTCAGGACAGTCATCAGGACAAGGAGGGTCTTCTGGACCACAAGGATCTAGCGGGTCAGGAAATTCAGGCCAATCTGGAGGATCTGGCAGTTCAGGACAGTCATCAGGACAAGGAGGGTCTTCTGGACCACAAGGATCTAGCGGGTCAGGAAATTCAGGCCAATCTGGAGGATCTGGCAGTTCAGGACAGTCATCAGGACAAGGAGGGTCTTCTGGACCACAAGGATCTAGCGGGTCAGGAAATTCAGGCCAATCTGGAAGTTCAGGGCAGTCTTCAGGACAAGAAGGGTCTTCTGCATCAACAGAACCTAGTGGGTCGGGAAGTTCAGGACAGTCATCAGGACAAGGAGGGTCTTCTGGATCAGGAAATTCAGGACAGTCTGGAAGTTCTGGACAGTCATCAGGACAAGAAGGGTCCTCTGGATCAACAGAACCTAGTGGGTCACAAAGTTCAGGCCAATCTGGAGGAGCTGGCAGTTCAGGACAGTCATCAGGACAAGGAGGGTCTTCTGGATCAGGAAATTCAGGACAGTCTGGAAGTTCTGGACAGTCATCAGGACAAGAAGGGTCCTCTGGATCAACAGAACCTAGTGGGTCACAAAGTTCAGGCCAATCTGGAGGAGCTGGCAGTTCAGGACAGTCATCAGGACAAGGAGGGTCTTCTGGATCAGGAAATTCAGGACAGTCTGGAAGTTCTGGACAGTCATCAGGACAAGAAGGGTCCTCTGGATCAACAGAACCTAGTGGGTCACAAAGTTCAGGCCAATCTGGAGGAGCTGGCAGTTCAGGACAGTCATCAGGACAAGGAGGGTCTTCTGGATCAGGAAATTCAGGACAGTCTGGAAGTTCTGGACAGTCATCAGGACAAGAAGGGTCCTCTGGATCAACAGAACCTAGTGGGTCACAAAGTTCAGGCCAATCTGGAGGAGCTGGCAGTTCAGGACAGTCATCAGGACAAGGAGGGCCTTCTGGATCACAAGGATCTAGCGGGTCCGGCAATTCAGGTGGTTCTGGAGGAGCTGGTGGATCCGGAGGTTCCGGGGGATCTGGCGGCTCTGGAGGATCTGGCGGTTCTGGAGGATCTGGCGGTTCAGGAGAGTCTAGCGGTACAGGAGGGTCTGGTGGTAGCGGCGGGTCTAGCGACACAGGAGGTTCAGGAGGGGTTACCCTGTATGTAGATATTGGTGGTGCAGGAGGGTCAAACTCTTCTGCTGGACTGTCTCTGTCAGTAGGACTTTAAATCTGTGATAATCTGTCACAGACGCAAGACTCACAGCTCCTTTATTGATCACAGTAACTCGCATAGTAGCTTATTGTGGAGGTATACTTTTGGGTTCTTAAAGTTCGTGTACTCTATTAAATACATACATATATATATTGTGCACAAAATGTATATTTTCACAAACGCATTGCAATAAATTGTAAAGCAATTTAATTGACAGTTTTCATTTATCCTGAGGACCACCTGTCGTCAATGTTTCTTTCCAATATTCTGTGGGTTCCCTATCCTTCCCAGGAGAGTTCACTGTTGCACAAGAATTCAACTTTATTTTGGAGTTCTCAGAAATGCGACTATGAACTTTGGTCTTGTAGGATACATCGCCGTGGAATTCAGTACATACGCACCAATATTTCGGAGAAAATTACTGTCTTCATCTTCAAGGTCGGGCATATACTATGCTAGCAGGAAATAAAAATATACTGTGTTAATAGAAAATATTATTTCACACATATGCATATGTTCCAAGGGCATGCATGCAGTTGTGCACTGCATTTGACAGTCCGACTGCAACGCGGGAAATTGCTCTCAACACATTTCCTCTCCTTAGCACCTGACATAAGTTGGGGGCACACCCTGGAGTTGTAGCATGTATATCAGTAATGTAAAGTAAAGTTGTCCTTGTGCTTAACTAATTAAGCACTGCGCCATGAAGACGTATAGAGCCAAGTGTTCTGGACTTATTCAGTATTTGTAGCTGAGTGCTCAGTTTCAATCCTCGGCCGCTTCGCAGCCGCTGAAGGGCTCCCCATTCCCTACTGGGGAGGAGGGGGGGGGTGAATCGCAGAACAGCTACGGAAAGCACGGAAATGAGATAAACTTTGCCTTGAACAGTACACGAACTCCGACCACTCGGCCTTCGATCTTGCAGCCAGTCGCTATACCGACTGAGAAGTGGGGGCTCTAGGATATACATAACCTTGGTATCGTATAATTTATAATGTGCTGAAATAATATAATAAACAATAAAATAAAGTATGAACGCCGTAGAGTGTAAAGAAAAGTATCGTGTAAAAATCTCAAATAAATTAGAATTTTTTTTAAACTTAGACGT